ATGTTGAAATGCCAACAGTGATCCTGGGAGACCCAGCCTACCCCTTGCTCCCATGGCTCATGAAGCCATACACCAGCACCCTGACAGCACCAAGGAGTGCTTCAACTATAGGCTGAGCAGGTGCAGAATGACAGTTGAACGTGCCTTTGGGAGTTTGAAGGGTTGCTGGCGCTGTCTACTCAAGAGATTGGACCTCAGGGAAAAAAAATATTCCAATGGTTATAGCTGCTTGCTGTGCCCTACATAGTATCTGTGAAGCAAAGTGGAGATGGAGCAGCTGTCTGCTGATTTTGAGCACCCAGATACCAGGGCTATAAGAAGAGCTCAACATGGAGCTATACGGCTTAGGGAGGCTTTGAAAGACCATTTTAATAGTGAGCCAGAGTAGAGAGTGTTGCTGTAATTTGTTCTACCTGTCTTTGCTCTTTTGCAGCCCTGTATGAACCATTTAGTGAATTCTGTGTGTGAAATAATATAACATTGCCAATGCACCGATTAATACTGTCGGTGAATGATGTCAGCACCACCTAGCATATGTTGAGAACTAATACACGTGAATTATGTTTCCCAAAACACCTTTATTCCACAATGATGCAAATAGAAAAAACATTTTTAACTTAAACTTAATAAATTAAGGAAAAAGAACTTATGATGGGGAAAGAACAGTCATTTCCATTTCAAATTCACATACACCAACCATGTCTTTCCCAGGTCAGCATAGTGCAGCTGTGAATGTCTTTAATGTTCCCAGCCCAACGCCACACAGAATGTTGAGGGGCAGGGGGCACAGAGAGTTCCCGGTATGCAGTTCTCTATGGGCTGCAGAGAGAAGCGAGCATAGGATTGTTGAACCTGCAGATCCACCAGAGTCTGCAGCATGGCTGTTTGCTGCCTGAGAAGTGCAAGCATCTCCAGCAGCACATCCCTCTCCTTTTCCTGCAGCTCTCTTCTCCACCCTATCCCTCTCCATGCTGTCTGCAATGGTGATCCTCCAAGCCCTGTGCTTTTATCGGAGGCAGCGGAGGGTTGCAGGATCTCTTGGAACATGTCACCCCAAGTCCTTTTCCTTCTTCTCTTTATCTGGCTTGTCCGTTCTGCTGGTGTGGATGGAGAAACCCTCACGGCCACATTTGCAGCTGCTGAAGATACAATATACAGAAATACCATTGTCAGTGTATTCATGAGATAAAACAAAATTCAGGAGGCTGAACTCACTCCCTTTGATCCACACAAGTTGTTAGCACTACAGTCTCACTTCTCATTGGGATTTATACAGCATGAGCCATGGTGAGCACAGCCCTGGGGTGGGGGGCAAATTGGGGAAATGAGGGGAGACGGCTCACAGGCATGAGTATGCGTGTATAGGGCAAATGAACTGAATATTGGCACCACTTTCCACAGGCAGTGGTGACTATAGCTGACCTCTCACCCCTGAGGGTAATGGGTGAGAGGGACCCTATGCTGCTAGCCTGTAAGCTGCAATGGTTCCCACTCAAGTAATTGCTACGGGGCATGGGAAAGCGTCCTACCACAGGAGAAGAAATAAGGCAGCCCTCCCCAGAAACCTACAGCAGAGGATTGCAGACAAACTCCAGGAAAGTTTCATAGAGATATCTGTGAAGATTCATGGCACATCCTGGTGCACATAAATAGTGTGTTCCGCGGGGCCCCCTCTGCCTAACTGTCGAGGGGGATGAGAAGCAGACAATTACTCTTCCTCTATTATTTGTTTCACTACCTCTTCTAGAGTAAGAGTAAATCAATAGATGTATACTGCTATTTTGTGGGTTCCATCCCTGTAATTTCAAAGAAAACAGCATACTTACCAGAGGTTCTTTCCCCTGCATCAGGATCGACTGTGCTGGACTGTAGGGACTGGCCGGACTGCGCTGGAGTCAAAAACATGTCCTCGTTTGCTGAGCAGCTGCCTCCCCCAATCACCTGTCCCCCACATTCTACTCCTCCTCCACTTCCTCATCCAACACCTCCTCTTCGCTGTTCTCTGGCTCCTCCGAAGTATCCATAGGGCTCTTGGGAGTGATGGTGGAGTCTCATCTAAGGATGGCATGCAGCTCTTTGTAAAAGCAAGTTTGTGGCTATGCACCAGAGCAATTGTTAGTTTCCCTTGCCTTCTGGTACACCTGTTGCAGATCCTTGGCTTTCACATAGCTCTGCTTTTCGTCCCTCTTGTAGCCGTTCTCCTCCATGCCCCAAGTGATCTGCTCGTAGATGTCGATGTTTCTATGGCTGCATCTGAGCTGTGCAAAACCTCTTCTCCCCACAGACCCAGGAAATCCACCATCTCCTGTTTTCTCCAGGCGGGGGAGCATCTGCAGCATGTAGTCAGCGTGGTCAGCAAGGCAGTTGCTAGGTGTACTCTCCAAGCCAGGCAACCAGGAAATGGAATTTCAAAAATTCACAGGGCTTTAAAGGAGAAAGGCAGTTCTCTGGCCAGCTGGCTGCTTGGCAGCAGAGTTCACACTGGTGACCAGAGTGGTCAGGGTGGGGCATTGTGGCATACATCAACTGTTATTGGCCTCCAGGAGGTAAGTAACACAATGTCTACACTGACACTGCAACAATCTAACTACATCGGCCGTGACTCTACGCCACCGGGGGAGGTGATTTTATTAAGTTGGCATAACAGGGCAGTTACGTGGGCGGGAGCGAAATGTAAGTGTATACACATACATAGCTATGTCAATGTAAGCTGCCTTGCATCCAATTAACTGTGTAATGTAGACCAGGAATAAATCCTTGCACAAGCTTACAGAATCATATCAGTTTTGTCTTGCAGATTCTATTTTAAAAGGCAGCAAGAGAGAGACAGGCTCTGATCTGGTTGCACAAGAAAAATATGAGGTGGCAAGGGAACATCTTCATACCCCCAAAACAGTGAAGGCAAGAGAGAAATTCAGACTATCCACCTCATATGCACACATAGCCCCCACGCTAACAAAAAATGGGATGGGGAGAAGACAGAAAAAAGATAAGGAGACAAGAGGTGGAATCCTGCACAAACAGCATGAGATCCTGTTTTCGGCTTTGTTTTCACTGAGGGATAACTAACACACATCAGCTATACCGCTGCAAAAACCTAGTCGAGACAAGGCACTGGAGTTTTTATTGTGAAGTAAATAGGTGAGGTCAGCCACAAACGGGGGTACAGCATTGACCATGACTTTTTACCTTGCAGGTAAAACTACAATGCGCCCTGTCTCCACTAGCTATATTTCTGTAACATCCTAATGTGTATTAGTTATCCCACAGTAACAATGCACTTTATTTTGGGGCAATGAAGCCAAAGCCTCTGTGACTAAACAAAGGCCCCTTACTTACCTCGACTCCTCCAACAATGCCTGAAAGCAGCAAGCATATGCAGCATGCCCAGCTTTTTGAACTGGTTAGTCCCCAAGGTGTTGAACTGTTGGGGAACAGCCAATGCCTACTGTTAACTAGATGTTTGCTACTGTAGGCTCAATTGACATACTATGTACGGTGTAACAGTTTAATGCAGAGACAATAAGTCTATGACCAATTCAATTAGGTAAAAAGTAATAGAGTTTGTCATAAGAACCCTACAGGCAAAGGAAACTCAGAGGAGGCTGCTCTTGTGTTTCTAGTCCCGCTGTACTTAAATATCCTAGAATAAACAGACACACAGCTTAGAGTTCACAGGAGAGTTACTGGGGATTCAATTCTTCTGGGCCACAACAAGATCTTTTTCACTGTAACTTGCTTTATGCTCTGGACTTGAAAAATTACCACACTTAACCGCCAGAGAACTAAACCCACTGACCAGAAATCACTTCAAAAGTCAAATGTGCGCACACACAAAAATTCCCACCACCAAGTTGCAGACATTCAGAGGCAATAAGTCTAATTCCATGTCTTAGTGCTGGGATTATTAGGAGGTTGTCCCCAGCAGGATACACACAGTTCATGCTTTGCATCAGTATCGCCTGGGTGCCTGATAACTTTGAAATCTTCCTGTCCCCATCTGAATGCTGGAAGGAAGTTTTCTCCATCTTCAACCCAAAAGCTGCCTCATTACAGTGAAGGGGAGCTTCTCAGCTATTCTATCAACCCCATCATCATTTGGGGCACCCCAGTTCCTGCCTCTAGTGTTGTTCTTCGGTTTCAAAACAGCAGCTCTGTGAAGTTCCCTCATCTGCGCCATGCATTTTTATCGCCAGATATTCCTTTCGTCAATGGCATCTCCCACCTACACTCTCTTCAAGCTCAGCTAAAGTAATGCCAAAAATAAACAGTTTCTAAAAAGCTGCTTTAATTTGCATTCTTCTGGAACTAACATTAAGACAATCTGGTATCTTGCCTCTCACTAATCTCCAGTCTTTTAGGAAATCAAATGGAGGCCTGACAAAAAGCAACAGAAAAAAAACATTTCAGCTAGACAATTCATTTTGAAATTCTTTTTTAAAACTTGGGAGTGAAAAAAATTGGTCCTATGCAGAGACCCTGGAGGAATCTAAGACACATTCCACTTAAAAAATGATCAATTTCAAGCAGTGCACTAAAACTTGATCTGGTACTACATGTGCCTCCTAGTCCGCCTGTCTGTTTTTGCATTTTAGAATATTTTTATTTTCAAACATTTTTTCTCTCCCACCCCACCCACCCCTTTACTGCAAGGCCTCTCTACTCCCAAAAAACCGAGCAAGTTACACTGGGGAAATGACTACTACACACAAAACACTGTTAATTGCACTAAGTAACCAAGTTGAAAAAAAACAACAAGAAAAAGCATCGTTTTCAATCTCAGTAACATTCTAAGATGTTAAAAGTTTAGACAGAGAGGTCTCTAAGTTATGTCCCATTAATATTTATATTCAAGGTTTAATATCATCTAAATGTTTTTATAAAGGAAAAACCTGGCAGACTTTAAAATATAACCTTACGAATGTTCCACTTCTGTGTAATGCAGTAAGAATGGAATGCAGAAGTAAAGAAAACACACGTAAATAAAAAATATTACTTACCACTTTCAGCTCTGGTACAGATCGACTTAGTGTCCACTCCTGGCTATTTACAAAAGCATCTGTCAAAACAAAACAAAACATATATATATTTAGAAAGGTACACTATTAGTTTAGTAAAGCTGTATTTTTTATTCCCGCTGAAGCAGCCAAAAAAGCATCTAGGCCTTCAAATAATGGAAAAACCAGAAGCCTCATTCAAACCTCAGTAATTTATGTATGCTTCCATCATTGAGGTTCAGATATTACAGTATTTATGTATTGACAATGCAGAAGGCACAGCCATAGCTAATTTTATCATGTGATCCCAACGCGGATTTATATTGCAGTTAGAATTTTAATTCAATCCTTGCAGGTTATGGAAAAACTCTTCTCCTCTCCCTTGTTTCGCCAAAGCTGGGAGTTACCAGGTCAAAAGGGATACAAACAGTTAAAAGGTGACACGATTCTCATGAAGGGGAGTGATAAAACAACTGGGCAAGACTGAAAGACACTCCCCAAAGCAGGAAGAGAATGCGTAAAGGGAAGAGAAAGAGGCTTTGAGGAGGAGTCTATAGCAAGTTAAACCAACTAGGGATCCCAAGAAGAAGGTGAATAGACACCTAGTAAACTAGACACGCATATACTCAGTATATTAGTACAAAAGCATTTAAGACCAACAGATCTTAAACAAAAACATTGCTTTAAGAACGCTGACTAGTAACTGGTTAGCACTTGCACATCTAGAGGGAACAATATTACAGGGTCTGGACATAAATCAGAGCTGCTGTGGTAATAATGTTTTATACACAGGGCCAGACCTGAGAGCAGGGGATCATGCGATTCCACCCTGAGAGCTGAAGCGAGAGGCCCAAGGCTTGGGGGGTTGGCTCAGAGACCCCAAGAGGGGTCAGAGGGGCACTTTAGTAACTGTGACAAGTATCACAAGTGCTTTCTATGTAAAGTTTAGGGCTTAAATAAAATAAAATAAATTAATCTCTCACAAACATATGGCATCAGCAAGTTCTGGTTCTACAGAGCAATTCACACAAACTTTTTCAGAGAAACTGTCCTCTTCGTAGACAACACTGCTTGACTAAAAACTAGAGAGATATAGGTCTTTCTTCACAGCCAACTTGAAAATGTCAAACACGACACCCTAAACTCAGTATACACTAAGTCATAAACCTCTAGTTCTGTTGTGGAGAAACATTTACATTTAAGCAAGTGTTCAGTATCTCTCTTCTCTCGGTAAAGTTTATTTAACTTACTGGAGAAGAAATTAGTCTCAGGCACTGAAGTCCAAGTAGTAGTGCCCTAAATTACTGCACCATAAAAAATTACGACTTCATAAAAAACACAATTTATGGAAATGCTTTACAAACCCCATCTGTGTTCCCTACAAGCTAAGCATGAATTACATGCAAACTTCTCCAGTGACTTTTATGAATCATGGGAGAAATCCCAGAGCCTTCACTATCTTAATGTTTCATTACTCTTATCACATTTCCCCCTCACCAGCCCTCAAAGAAAAATGTAGTTATTTAATACACAATTGGGTATCACTCATTGATTTGGAAGCATTTTCTCTCTCCTTTTTATACTCAGTCCACATAAAACGGTTACCTACCTTTCGCAACTGTTGTTCTTCAAGATGTGTTGCTCATGTCCATTCCAATTAGGTGTGTGCGCCGCATGCACAGTAGCCGGCAGGTTTTTCGCCTAGCGATAGCCATCGGTTCAGGCACACCCTGAAATGGCGCCTCTGTGGTGCCGTGTATATGGTCCTGCCGACCCACCACCTCTCCAGGTCCTTCTTACCAGCATTGCTCCGACAGAGGGGGTCTTGGAATGGACATGAGCAATACATCCCGACGAACGTCCAAAGTGTGGAATTTTTTCTCCCGGCTGTTTGCAAGTGGCTTAGAGTAAAAAAACTGGAAGAAAAATGTCCTGCTGAAGCAAGAGGAACGAGCGTTCCGGCTAACTGTCACAGGCGATAAGAAGGAACTGAAGAGGCGGCGGGTTGGCAGTACCCTATATACTGCGCCCCGAGGCGCCACCTGAACCGACCCAACAGGTACTGCTAGGGGGAAATCCTTCCAGCGACTGTGCATGCAGCGTGCACACACCTCACTGGAATCGACATGAGCGAGCACTCGAAGAAGAATTTTACATTTCAATTCTGCCTTTGAATTCAGATAGTTGTGTTGGTGGGACTGGCCACACCATTTGAGAAATGGCTCCCAAATGTGCAAGTACACAAAACATTCATATCCAAGTATTGTACAGTTCCAGTTCTGTGAAGGTCACGACACCCAAATTCTCCTGATAGGTGTGTGGGGGGGGTTTCTTCAGATGGCAGCCCAGCAGGCTTTGAAATCTTCTGGATTAATTCTACTTATTTAGGTCTCTAAGGCCAGCTATACCTGCTGTTTTTAGGAGTTCTATAGCATCAGAACTCTCACCCAGTCATGGAGGACATACTGAACAGGATCCCTGTTCAAAGATCAGAAAGTCCAACAGTGGACCAAACTTCAAACTGTTTAGCAATATCTATAGCAGAATTTAGGTTGAATATTCTGTTATCCTTATTGTTAGAGGAGAAATTGCTATGATTAATTTTAGCAATATTATTTGAGCACAGCCACTGATCTCAACCACGCGCAATACATAGAAGTTACAGTCTTTGCCCATGGAAGCTGGAGATCTAGACTGAACACATTGCCAGTCAGTCAGGATGCGAGCCTCCTTGGGAAAGAGATGAAGGTCTGACCTCAAAGCACTGCATAAAGATTTGGCGCTTTTGTGTTTCTGGGGGAACGGGGGGCAAAGTGCGGTAGGTTATGTAATATATGTACATAGCAGTACATGTACTGACACTATTGTTGCAAATGTAATTTTCTCAGCTAATTTACGTTTGCGTGTAAAGGACATTTTTTCTAGAACATACATGTTCGTTATGCAACAAGGAAAACCAAGTAAACCAAGAGGAAAAGTAACTAAACATTTTCGAAAGCTTAAATGTTACACAAAATATAGTTCTCCATGAGCAACACTGACTTAAACTGCTTCTGTGCAATGATACAATGCTATAGCTCAGTGAATAATGAATAGAAATCTTTAGTTGTACCAGATACAGACTAAGAATTAGCTCTTTAATTTACAATAGTCATTGGAAGAGACTTTGACAATTATTAGGAGGCAGTGTTGCCAAGTGGATGGTACACAGGAATGGGACTTAGGAGACCTGGAGTCTATTCCCAGCTTTGCTATTGGCCTGCTGGTGAGCTTGGGGAAGCCACAGCCCCTCTGTGTGCCTCAGTTTTCCTATCTGTAAAATGGAGATAATGATCTGGGCCTCTTTTGTAAAGTACTCATATCTACTAACAACAAGTGCTATGTTAGAGCTAGGTATTATTATGACCATGTAGTTAGTCTAAACAGATCATCTAAGTAAAGAACAGGGAAACAGCACAAAGATGATGACTCCAGTGACGTGTCAAAGGTACCAATGAGAGTGGTTTCACATTTTGCATGGGAAAGGGAGAGGGAGAGTAACAGGATGGCAACATGTGACAGGCCTGTAGGCAAACATACCCAGCTAGCCTGTGATTAATTTCACTGGTTCAGCTAGCCAGGGTCACAGCCTAGTGACTACACTTGTTGTGGATTTGGCTGCAGTGGACGGAGGGCAGAAATGTTATGACTCCAACCTCTCTCAAACTGCTAATTTCAAAACCAGAGGTCAGTTAGACCAAACAGTCACCAAAAAAAATTGCATATTTCCACAGATGCCTCCAGTCTCTCTACAGGTCTAGAATTTCCAGTGCAAATATTCAAAATCATGTTTTTGCAACATTTAATATATTCTTTATTTGCACCTCAACACTGACATAATTCCAAGTTTGGCCAGCCTTGGACACCTTTTAAAGTTAATTTCATTTCTGTGTACACTCTAACAGACTAGTTTTGAACTTTCACTGCTTCATGGTGACTAACATTATGAAAACCTGCACATAACCCTGACTTTTCTTAATTCATGTCAACCAAAAATGTCTAGGTAAGTGCTTCTTTCCTTCCCCCTTTCAATTAAAGATATGCCATTTTAAAAAATTATCAAAAAGTCAACACTTTTCTCCACAAGATGCTTAGAAAGTTAGCTTTAAAAGTATATGTGAATCTCAGCAGATAGAAAGCTCAAACAAGAGCAATAACGTTAGAACAATGGTCAAGATTACAATAAAAAGCAAAATCAAACCAAATAAACTAGGAAATGAAAAGTAGCAATCTCACCTGCAACTGAATCAGACCCCCGCAAAAATGCTTTACTTTTCACAGCCGATAAAAGCTATTGTAAACGACAGACAAGCAAATTGTAAAATATGCCATTTAAGAAAACCAAATGCTAAGCTATTTATGTCATTCTATATTAATGTAAGGTTTCAAGAATTAATAATTCTACTGATTTAACCTACTCTGCAATTATTATAGCTATAGGTTTGATCTACTGTATTAATAATGTCAAAAGCAAAACTGTAAAAAGCTACTACTTATGTTTTGGCTAGAAGAGTCCTGAATGGCCAGTGTAAAGCCTTGAGAATCTGCCTCCTTTACAAAACTCAAGCCAAAGGGTCCAGTTTGCAGCCACCTAAGGACGGCTAGATGCAAGTCCTTTAATAAACCACAAGGATGTCTATTGCTAATTCAATGCGAGTATCCTCAAAGTTCAACCGATGTGTCATAAAAGACAACGCAGTATTAAGTATTAGACTACTAAGCAGGCTCAAGTGATTTGTGTAGCTGAGTAACTATTTTCTGCTACTGTGATGTTTTCAAAGTGGCATATTCAATCACCACAAAATAAAAAACAAGAAAGATTAAGTCCCTTCTTTCCTCTGCAATCATGTGGAGTATTATCCCTTGTCCCAGCCATATATTCTTATAAATGTGGGGGTTAGGGGTGGGAAGACACAAAATAAACCAGTATTTCCCTAAATGGGGGAATACACCTTTTGAGGGGGCAGGAAGAATTAGCCACTCCAGAGTGGCACAAACAGGCTTCAGCAGTTCTCCAGACTCT